AAAAAAGATGATTTTATGGTTTCAATTACATTTTTAAGAGTAATCATTTAGATTGGTTTCAATTTTAACAAAAAATTATTTATATACTTTTTAGTATTCTTTTAATTTCTTAATTATTATTTTATTAATATCAAATACTAAAAAAACTAAAAATTACCTCAATGAATAAATAATTTGGTGAAAAGTTGCTAAAAAATATTTTAAAAAACTCTAGAAATTATTTAAAAATTTTATATAAAAGATTTTTGGATTGAATTTTTCAGTTATATTCACTTAGGCATCGATTTTTTTATTTTTTATTTTTAGACTTAACAATTAAAACCCAAACCATTTAAAATTGGTTTGGTTTGGTTTTTAATCAAACCCTACCCGTTGATTATGATTTCGTCAGTGTTCAGATCTTTTTTCAATTGCGGACCTTTTGGCCTACCCCTGCGTTATGCAATCCCCAAAAATATCAAATTTAACAACTACTTAAAATGACCAATTGAGAAGATTGAATTCTTGTTGTGTCACACTTTTCAAATCTAGTGGAGAAATATCTTCTTATTTGATGTCATAAATGACCAGTAAATGCCACACATCATATAAACCGATTGATTGTAACGAACCATCTATTAGAAACCCAAGGAGCACAAAAATCCTTAATTGAAAATCTAAAAGGAAAAAAAAAAAAAAAAAAAAGAAGAAAACTTGAAGACAAAATGGCTACATAAATTATAGGGTGACAGAGCTACTTAGAAAGATCTTAGAAAGTCTATCGCCCAAGGAAGTAGAAGAAAGATAGGCTAGGGTTTATTTTTGGAATGAAATTTATCTTTCAAGTCAATTTACTTTTCTGCCAAATACCAAATTTACATTTCTAGCACTTTATATTTCAGTCAAAAGTCATTCATTTAAGTTCTTTAATTTCTGCTAGAAGTTATATTTCATTGCATTTTTATATTTTCTGTGATATTTATGTTTCTAGTCCTTTACTATTATGTGAAGCTACAGTTTACTACACTTTCTAGTTTCTGTCAAATATATTCATTTTTGTTTAAGTTACTTTCCAGCATCTTATTCTTTTATGTGGTAGTTTTCTAATATTTGTAAGTACATAATTCTTAATTTAATTTTTCTTGGTATATGTTTAAAGCAACCAAGTACTTGACATGCTTCTAAGGTAATTTTGAGTTTATTGTGTAGAAACTAATCTCTCACTTCTACCATATCGTTTGACACGAGGTCCATTTTCCTTTTAAACGATGTTCTACTAATGGCCTTATTCACAAGGATAAATTGAGTGGAAGAAGAAGGTTATTGGTGAATCTTTTTCTTGTTTTTCTTACAAAAGCAAATGATATGCTTACGTTCTCATTTTTACAGTAGGGCATTGCTGATGTAGAGGATTTAGGGGTACCTTCTCCAATAGTCGCCACTATTTCTTTTTCTACTTCTTTTTCTCATAGCCTGTTAGGCCCTAAAAGTAAGAGTGAAATAGATGCTGTGCATCTATGAGTAGGTTCCACATGAGTACATGGCTCAAAATCAATTTAATATATTATGTAATA